GAAGGTAAATCTTAAGTTGAAGTCATTGCTTATCTAAGTTGCTACAGTAAGGGTACGGGGACATATACATGTGCGTGTGCATGCGTGTGTGCACACACATGCATACGTATGTATGTATGTATGTATTTATGTGTGTGCGCGCGCGTCTTTGTATATATGTATAAATGTATGTATATGTATACATATGCATGTATATATATACACATATATGCATGTATATATATACATACATATTTATACATATGTATGTGTGTGTGTATAAGATGGACTATTCTCCTCTTAGGAGGAGAGGGAATCTCCTTCTACATGTATAACCAGCTAGATATAATTTTTGATGGCCACAGATCATAGAGACTATAATGCAAAAAATCAAGCAAATTAAAAATAGCAAAGGGAAACATAGTCATTAAATCTCATGTTTAAGGATTCAGATCTAGCAATTGTTTATTTTTTTCCCCTTTTCTCATTAACTTTCGTGAAGTTCATCATTTATATCAGTCACCCAAGTGAAACAAAGTTTATGTAAAACAATTTATGGGTGTCATTATGGGGAATATAATTTTTCATTCAACAATTAAAAAGTTTTTAAAGACTTAAGTTTATGATCAAGCTTATCAAGAGAGATAAAAACATTGAAAAGACAATTAATGAAAATTAAAACCTGGAAACCTATTGTTATAAGAGAACAATTTTAATGACTGAAGTCATCCATGTTTGTCTTGTATTGTTTTAGTTATGAATGGATTTCAATGGGTTAAGGCTACTAGTTTGAAAAGAAGAAAATGACACGAAAAATGAAGTTCACGAAGTTAGATAGTCATTTGTTGAGAGATCCGTGATTTTCTCCCATACATAATTAAGCAGTATATCTTCCAATCTTGTTTATTTTTGTTACTAATGGATTCTCTCATCTCATATCTTCCGTGATTTTCTCCCATACCTAATAATGTATCTTCTTTTCCTATCTTGACCAATTTTAGTTATGAGTGGATCTTCTATTTTCATACCTTAAAACTTTAAACTAACGGTCATAAATATAGGAGATTCCCTCTCCTCCTAAGAAGAGAATAGTGCCAACTATATAATACTATATATATACTATATATATATATATTATATATATATATATACAAAAAATGCAATATAATTACTAATAATAATACATATTATAGTATATATATTATATAAGAAAACCAATACATAAGATAAGAGAGATAGGATATGACATAATGGTATCACACAAAATTATGGCTTATAGTGAGGTAGCATAATCCAATACAAACATAACAATATCAGATTGTATCCATATCCCCACCATGCACTCCTCACACCCATGTGAATGGCGGTCCCTTATTTGAATGAGTTGGAGAAGATTGTGTCACTCTTCTATCAGCACAAAGCTTGCTTTGTACCAAACATATCCATCTTTTTCATATATATATGTATA